TATATATATATATATATATATATATATATATATATATATATATATATATATATATATATATATATATATATATATATATATATATATATATATATATATATATATATATATATATATATATATATATATATATATATATATATAACAATAATAATAATAATAATGTTGTATTACATTTATATCTTTTTTTGAATTTAAATGTATTTCTTTTAATACAACATTATTTTATATATATATATATATATATATATATATATATATATATATATATATATATATATATATATATATATATATATATATATATATATATATATATATATATATATATATATATATATATATATATATATATATATATATATATATATATATATATATATATATATATATATATATATATATATATATATATATATATATATATATATATATATATATATATATATATATATATATATATATATATATATATATATATATATATATATATAAATTAAAAAACTAAGATATAGTATAAAATGTGTGAATTTTTTTTAAAATAACCAAGTATTGATTTTAATTTACCAAAATAACCAAGTAATAAAAAAATTATCCAAAATGGCTAACAAATCAACCTTGGGTCGCCATTTCAAATGGCGAATGAGTTGAAAGTGGATTTTGGAGAACATGAATTCGCCATATCAATTGGCGAATGAGTGTTGTGGGGATTCCATGCGCCATCCTAATTGGCGAATCAGTGCAATGCTAGGGTTACCAAATTCATTTTTGCTTCGTTTATATTTTTATTAGTTTTTAATAAATTTTAATAATTGATTAATAATGTTTTATTCTATTTTTTAAATACTTTATTTTAAATACCTTATTTTTAATTGAAATTTAAATAAATTAAGAAAAAATTAGGGTATAGAATGTTAAAATAAAATATAGAAATAACAAATTATATTAATTTAGAATTTAATGAAAAGTACAATTACAATTTAACAAAAGAAAAAAACTAATGACCGGCTCTATCCAAGTGACCACTGGTGCCACATTGTGGGGGACGTGCATTGCGACGAGGTCTACAACGAGGTTGTTGTGGTGTGTCCGATCTCTGTGTGTTGAGTTGTGGAGGAGGGTATAGTTGGGACGGCCCCGACGTATCAAATAAAGTTTGCATCATTTGACCCCAATAGTCGGGAGGTCCACTATCAACGACGCTTCTGTAGTCAAGCCCGATGCCCATGTTTTTGAAGGATTGTCGGGGAGGTTGGGTGGAGTATGGACGATATGGTTGTCTGAATGTGTACATGGAGTTGGGTTGGTCTAGGTGTGTTGGTTGTTGCGGGGTGTGGTAGTCGAATAATGGATAATTTGGGGGGTAGTTGGAGGTGTAGTTGGAAGGGGGGAGGGTCAAATGAGTTGTCTGGGCTATAGGTGGAGGGGGTAGGCTCAAAAGAGGTATCAGGGTTGTAATGGTAAGGTGGTTGAGGCTGAGATTGGGTGGGTGGTGGCATGTAAGGTTGTCGTTGTTGATAGGGGGTATTTGTTGGCATGTATGGGTTTTCGTAAGGCTGGGTTTGGGCACTGAACTGTTGCTATGGGTTTGACGAAGAACCGTGTTCCCTTGGGTCGGCCAAATAGGTTGGTTGGGACAGGAAAGGCTGAGATGTCGTGACAGACCTAAACCAAGTCATATATTGAAGACTTGGCCTAGTCCCGTGCACAATACGGTCGGTTAAGACGTATTGCCTTCTTCTTTTCTAGTGTATACGCAACTCCTTCGCAAACTCCTTCCAGTCACTGACACTCCACTGTGCGTCTACCCGCTTTTGATGCCACTGCCCCAAGTCTACTAGAGCATCTGGAATATCCTGATGCATCCCAAATTGTAGTTTCACCCGGTCACTCTGGTGCATCTCCACCGTAGTGAACCTAATTATGGGTGTCTTTGATGTCCACACAGCGACATCGTTGGGGCTGGGCTCGTGGTCGAGACCCTCGTACGGCATCCAGACAAACTACAATAAAGTTAGACAATTAAGTTAGACAGAGTTTGAGAGGTTTATGCATATACATTAAAAAAAATTAATGGTAAATAACTTACATCATCTGGCCCAAGGTGGTCGATTAGGTTGCGGTATTGAATTATAGGGTGCCTTGGACATCTCTGATAATTCATCCTTGGAACAGACCACCTAAAAAAAATAAACACATCCCAGAAACTATTAATTGAAAAAGAATATGTAGTTGCTAAATAATCTTGAAAAGATACTTACTTGTTGGCGTACGGGAACGTAAAAGAATTCCTGTTTATTGGAGCAAGCATTGGCATCCTAGACCAACCCCACGCTTGCAGAAGATACGCACAACCATAAAAAGTGTAGGATTTTTTTTTTTTAAGTTTTACAAAGTGCGTTATATAGATGGGCGAGGACAGCTGATCCCCAGCTATATTCGCAGACTTTGTTAATATTCCACAATAATGGTAAATACATAGTATGGACGGTATTTCCAGTTCCATCTGGAAATAAAAAATGTCCGAATAAAATCATAATATAGCACCGAGTTTTTTGTACTTTCTCAAACTCGGTGCTATCATCAGTTAAGACAATACGGTTGTATTGTTCTCTAAGGTATTTTAAATTTATTCCCTGACCCCTCGGGCGGCCCTCGCTTTCCGCCTGAGGTCCGTCCGTACAAAGAGGGGCGCCCAATAAATCTTCGCAAAGTTGGTCAGGGACACCAACTTTTCCATTGACGACCTTACCATCGATGTGTAGGCCGAGCAACATATAAACGTCCTGAAGAGTCACAGTACACTCACCAAAAGGTAGGTGAAATGTATGTGTCTCCGGTCTCCAGCGTTCTAACAACACTAGAATAAATTTCATGTCAAGGGAATAAGATTTGATTTTGATCAAATCACCAAATCCACAATGAGTAAGATAGTCCGAAATGAGCGGGTCGTGTGGTATGTAATCATGCACACGACATCGAAACCTTGATACATTCTGCAGAATAATGAATGTTACGTTAGAGAAGAAGTAAAATTACTAACGTTTTTTTAGACAAAATTGTAAACATAGACAAGAACAAAAGACTTACAAACTCAGCGATGTTTTCAGCCGTCCCTCTGTGTGAGTCACCCATGGTCAGTAGAGATATTGTCGTTTGGGATGTTGAGATTTAGAGATGGAGAGTTGAGAGTTTGAGAGTTGAGAGGTTGAGAGTTAAGAGGTTGAGAGTTGAGAGTTTGAGAGTTGAGAGTATGAGAGTTTAAGTGTGAGTAGAGTTTGATGGGTAAAGACCCTATATTTATATTCAACGAGTGGATATGTTGTAAATGCATGCTTCACAAGTGGCTTGAAGAATGTGTTGTGTAAGAGCTTGTTGGACGTATGTCATCATGCATGTGTTGTGTAAATGCATGTTAGACTAATGTCATGATGCATGTGATGTAAATGCATGTTGGACTAATGTCATGATGTAGTGTCTCGTCTAATCAAGCATGGTGGATGCATGATCACATGTGAAAAGGAGATTCCTTCATTGTCTCGTCTAATCAAACAGGCTACATGTCATTGATTGTGAAGCATGCGTGACAAGTGAAAGGCAGAGATTCCTGATGCGGTATCACATGTGAAAGCAGAACTTTGCATTGTCACGTCATATTATGGGTCATATTTTGTTTTTTGCATATTATGTTTTTTTCTTAATTAAAGAGTTATTGTTTTTTTTATGTATGATAGGTTCTGATGGTTGCAAACACATGCATGACCAGTGTTCGGATGCATGTCATTGATTCCTGATGCATGTCATTGATTCCTGATGCGTGTCATTGATTGTGAAGCATGCGTGACAAGTGAAAGGCAGAGATTCCTGATGCGGTATCACATGTGAAAGCAGAACTTTGCAGTGTCATGTCTTATCAAGTGTTCTATTCATTGTCATGAGATTGATTGTGGAGCACGCGTGACAAGTGTCCTGCATGCATGGTCATTTTGTTGGTGAAAACACAACTAGTGCATTTCTTTTCATTAGATCGAACGTTGGAAAAGGTTCCTCTGATGCTGATGACGACGACGAAGAACGTTGATTTAGAAATGCAGACATTCTAGACTCCACTCAACTCGAACTGCACTAACACTTTAGTCTTTTGGGATATAATGTTGTGAAAACATACATGTGTTTGCGGTCGTATTTATAGTAAAAAAAACAGTACGTACCCTATATGATATGACTTAAATAACCTTACAACATTTATACACTCAAAATTTGCTCAACACTATATTTTTATTTTGTATTTAAACCAGTTTAAGTTTTTTGTTTATTAAATATAAATTTATTAAATTAATTAGAAATTATTTTTATTTAAACCTAATTATTATAAGTTTTTTTAATTAAAAAAATAATTTTTAAGGTTAAACCACATTATTTTAAATTTATTAACTCAAAAATTTATTTAAACATTTAAATCTATTTTTTTAAGTTTATTAATAATATTTATGTTTAAAAAAATTAATAGTTCAAAATATAAAAAAAATCGTTTTTATTTTTTTAAAACATTAAATGAATATAAAAAAAATAATCAAAATATAAAATCAAGAATGATGGATTTTTGGAAACCCTAACATTGCACTGATTCGCCAATCAGGATGGCGCATGAAATCCCCACAACACTCATTCGCCAATTGATATGGCGAATTCATGTTCTCCAAAATCCACTTTCAACTCATTCGCCATTTGAAATGGCGACGCGAGGTTGATTTGTTAGCCATTTTGGACAATTTTTTGAATACTTGATTATTTTGGTAAATTAAAATCAATACTTGATTATTTTAAAAAAAAATTCAAAATGTGTGAATGTAAACTAAGCAAAAACAAAAATTGAGTGTCACGCGATCGGTTTGAAGACACAAGTAAAGTGTTGATAGGAACACTTGTTGTACACACATACTACATGTCATTAGTACTAACATATAACTAAATCACTAAAAAGAATAATAAAAACAAAAATGCAACTTATGAAACCGGCGATTCGTAACGGTAGCTATTGCTACGCCTACACCGTGTCCCGCTCCTTATTATTAACCTTAAACCCTAACCCTTTCTTCTTCTCTTCACCAATTCGCTCTCTTTCCATCTTCTCTTCATCAATGGCGTCCACTCACTTCTCTTCAACCTCTGCTCTCTCTCTGGAGAAACAATTCGGCCAGTTCCGTACTCACCTCGAAGAATCTGGAACGTTGCGCGACCGAATTCGAACCGTCGTTTCGGAAATTGAGTCCACCACAAGACTCATGTATGCTAACATTCTTCTTGTTCATCATTCTCGACCTACTCCAGGTACAAATGCATGTCGTGGTTCTTCCTTAAACCCTAATGAAAGTTGTCTGTTTTGTTTTATGCTAGTGTTTTCTCGTTATTCTTTGTTAATGTGGTTTTTTTTTTGCCGTTTGGATAGAGCTTTTGGAGAAGGCTAAGTCTCAGATTGATGTTCTGAAGGACAAGTATAAGCAACTTGCTGATATTCTTGGAGGATGTCCTGGTCAATACTATAGGTGATTGAGGTTTCTGGTGAACTTTTGTATGCTCTATAATCTTGTCGTTTTGTGGGAAGCTAACTTTGGTTCAATATAATGTAGGTATCATGGTGATTGGAGAAGTGAGACACAGACGGTTGTTTCTATGCTTACTTTCATGCACTGGCTTGAAACGGGAACACTTCTCGAACACAAAGAAGCCGAGGAAAAACTCGGGTGTATGTCTCAATACTCTCCTCTGTTACTTATATGTCGATTTGTGTTTCATTATTTTTTATTTTTTGGGTGTTTGTGCATGCATATGTTGATGTTGTTGCTACTTGCTAATTGAATACATTATGAAACTCTAACACATTTGGAAAAAGGCATGTCTATGTCCTTGTCGGATACTGACACTTGTGATTAAGTTTTATTTATTTATTTTTTCAAATTATTACTGGTGTCCTCTTTGTGTCTGCGTCCGTGCTTCATGGTTAAGAAATCTTAAGATTCTAACCTGTAGGGACTGTGAACGCAATTTGCTGTTTCTGGTCAAATAACTTTATGCATGCCATGATGGTAGAGATTCGTTGTTAGACAAAGTGTTCAAGCATCTAACATGCACAAATTGTAATATAAAACTTATTTACAAGGTAAAGGGAAAATAAAAGGAATCTCTTGCAGAGGGGCTGAACCTGAAAGTAAATATTAGCTGTACAGATTTTACACGGTTGTTGTACTAGTATGTTTGCAACGGATATTGACACAAGATTCACCAGGGGTTGCTAATTGACCACCTATTGTTATGAGGGCCCGTTTATCACAACGTGCGCCCATTTCCTACTCAGGCCTGGATTACTTTCCCGTTTACGGAAACATGGGTACTGAACATAAACCATGAATGTCTTTTCTGACTGTGAATAAGTCGCAGCTAAATTTAAACTCTTTTTTTCCTTTTCTTTTTATTGGCCATAATGTTAACTTCTACCTTATGCCTATTCCGAGTATTATGAGATTTATAATGCTAGTTATTTATATTTACGTATATTGTTACCTATTTTGCAGTGAATGGTCCGGAGGAGTTTAGTCTAGATGTTGAAGACTACCTAGTTGGTGAGTGTTCTACATATGTATTTTATTTAATTGAATGGAATGCATTGATCTTGATTTTAATCTCTTTTTTACTCAGTCATGTCTCCACCATTTTTTTACAGTTATGCAACATGTACTGATGCGTTTTTTTCTTCATGCAGGTGTATGTTTCATGTCTAATGAATTGGTAAGAACTATTTTTCTTCTAAGTTTTAAATATTAACGAGTCAAAAATGTAGGAGATATTTAGCACAATGTTTATAATTGCATATGAAATTATGAATGGCCACAACAGATTATGAAATTCTGTCATTAAAGAAAAGGCATGTTAACAGTTGCATCTATTTTGTAACTTGCAGCCAAGGTATGTGGTAAATCAAGTAACAGCTGGTGACTATGATTGTCCAAGGAATGTCTTAAAGTTTTTAACAGATCTTCATGCTGCATTCCGAATGCTCAATCTACGAAATGATTTTCTGCGTAAGAAGTTTGATGGTACGTTACTGCTTTAACCTTTCTTTCGTTTTCGTCACTGCCACAATCATCGAATAATGTTGATGCGCATACGATTCTGTGAGAAATATTTATCTCTCAGCTGTTTGGTTGACATGTTTCCGGTGTTGGCAGGCATGAAGTATGACCTAAGAAAAGTAGAGGAAGTTTACTATGATGTTAAGATTAGGGGTTTGACACCCAATGGCGAATCTATTGGAGATCAAGGAATCAAAGAACAATCTTAGTATGTTAGAATTGTATGGTATAAGCCTATGTATCTATTTATCTGCAATTATTTATAAATGTTTTTTAAGCAGACAATTATTTATAATTGTTGGTGAAAGGAGTAGAGGCTTTGTGAGAACTTAAAACCTTGTATTCTCTTTCTTTTTGATGTAAAATATAGTACATTGAAGTTTATTAATTATCTTTTCTATTGGGTCTTTAGTCACTCATACTTTAAAAATATGTGTGGATAATAACTTTGGGATTTTTTTTATAGATTAACTATGTATGGTTTACAAATTACCAAGTAAATGAAATATTTAGAATATTTATCAAAGTAGCACAAAATCAACATCGTGTCGCCGTCTAGAATAGCGACTCAGTTGTTTACATATTTGGCTGTACACAAATTCGCCAGATGGAATGGCGACGGATGGAATGGCGACTTTGTTGGATTTGAATGGATTTGCCATACACAATGGCGACTTAGTTGATTCGCCAGATGGAATGGCGACGGATGGAATGGCGACTTTGTTGGATTTGAATGGATTTGCCATACACAATGGCGACTTAGTTGACAGATGGAATGGCGACTTTGTTGGATTTGCCATACACAGTTGCCAGATGGAATGGCGACTTTGTTGGATTTGAATGGATTTGCCATACACAATGGCGACTTAGTTGACAGATGGAATGGCGACTTTGTTGGATTTGGATGGATTTGCCATACACAGTTGCCATACACAGTGGCGACTTAGTTGAAGAAGTAGGGTTTCTCTTTTCTTTTTTTATTCTTATTATTTAAAAAAACGTTTTTATTTAATAAATATAATTATTATAATTGTTATTATTTTAAGTAATAAAAATAAATTGTTAAATTATAAATTTGTGTTTTTAAATAATAATAATTAATTTTTTATTATTATTACTTAAAAAAAACATTTTTAAGTAATATTTATAAAATAAGTAATACTTATTCCCTTTAAATTATAAATAAATATTTTTAAATGTTAATTATACATTAATTTAAATACAAAATAAAAATTGATTAACAATTTAAAATTTAAAGCATATAAATTGATTTTAAAACAAAAAAATTGATTAACCATTGAATTTTAAAGTATATAAATTTTGTAAGGGTATTTAAGACATTTCATATGTGGTCCGTACTACTGTATTTTTCTATAAATACGACTGCAAACACATATATGTTTTCACAATATTGTTTACCAAAAGACTGAAGCGTTGGTGCATTTTGAGTGGAGTAGAGTCTACAATGTCTTATAAATCAACGTTCTTTGTTGTCGTCATCAACATCGGAGGAACCCTTTCCAACATTCGATCTAATGAAAAGAAATGCCCTAGTTGTCTTTTCACCAACAAAGCCTCCGATGAAGGTGCTCCGGTGGAATACGCAGACGTTGAAACACTTGCACAGGGAACTGAACCGATGGCTAGAAGGAGATATTGGTCCGGGAGAAAAGATTAGGAAAATTGAGAGGTTGGTCGAGGAGGCCGGGAGAAACGGAGTTACTCGTGAATGGAGAAAAGTGGAAAATATAAAGTTGATGGTCGTGATATCGTAGACAACTTGATGCAGTGTTCTGTTTTATGTCTTTACGTTGTTGTTATGTTTGTTTAATTTATGTTGCCTTGGTGTAGTGTTTTGTGTTTATGTTGTTGTTATTAGGGGTGAGCAAGGGACGAGTCGGGATGAGTTATGACTAACCCTAACCCTGTCCTAAATTTTGATCGGGCTATTTTAATGACCCGAACCCGTACCTAAACCTGATAATATATAAGTTAGTTTAGACCAGGTTAATGTAAGACGATATCGGGTTGACCCGAAATATATGGAGAAAAAAATTTAGTGACTTAAAAAGTTTATTATAGTATTTTAAAAAAATCATTTAAATAAGAAATATGAATAAAATCATTAGCATGAATGAAAAATAATGAATACATCTAAAGTCAATTTTTAAAAATAAAAAACATGATGTAATTTTATATATGTCATCACCTTTTTATTTCCCCTAAAACATAGTAAGAAGATGTAAAATAAAAAACATGATGTAAGAGAACTAGAAAAGTGTGAAAGTTGGAAAGTAGGAAGATGTGTACTTAGTATTTACTTAGTGCATATATTAAATTATGAGGTGGAAGGTGGAAAAGTCTATTGTTAATTTGAAATAATCTAAATATATTAATAAATTAAATAAATAAATAGTACCACATGTGAATTCATAATATTAGGACGGGTTGGGTAACCCGAGGGTCAACCCGAACCCGTCTCACTTGATACCGGGTTCATTTTTGGACAGTCATGTTTTTCCATTTTTTTACATGAGACGGGAAAAAGACTAACCCAAAGCTATCGGGTTGGGACGGGTCTTCGGGTTGGGTTGGGTTCTGTACACCCCTAGTTGTTATGTCAGTTAAGTATGCTTTTAATTGAATGAAATTTGGTATTAATCGAATGAAAATTGCTATCAATCGAATGAAAATTGCTATTGATATTGATTTAAAGGGACAAGATTACATATGAAACTATGATCTGCTGCTTGATCCTACGTTAGGACATTTTGTACGATTGTGTCCTGGTTGTCGACACGAACTACACAATCTTACCAGCTTGTCTGCGGTATCCATCTCCGTTTGAATGCGCGTGCTGTTAGGCCGACCCTTTTTCTTTTTGCGCATAAAGTCATTATGCCAAACAATTTCGCCTTCGTATTGAGGCCAATAGTCCTCCTTTGCCACCACCTGAAAGCTACATGTGTATACATTGCATAGACTTATCACTTGGTGAACTGCAGAAAGAAGGTTGGTTGGGTCCTGACGCGCCTTCGAACACACTGCTATAACATGAGAGCAAGGCATACGAAATGCTTGAAACTTCCCACAATCACACCAACTCTTATCCAATTCAACGCGGTAACATCCCCTAGGCCTTCCTTCGTTGTGATCAATAGACTCGGCAACACTGAACCAACCAGCTGTACGACCTGTGACCACGTGTGTGTTGGCTTTGGCTGCTTCCTCTTTCATGAATTTCATTGAAGTATCACTATACAGCTGACCCGATTGTAATACTGAACCCCACTTTGTACGTCTGCTATCAAAGAGTGATCCTAGCCTAAAATAGGTTGTCTTTACCAAGGCAGTTATTGGGAGGTTTCAGATTCCCTTGAAAACAGAATTCATTGATTCGACGAGGTTAGTTGTCACGTGGCCCCATCGCACCCCATTATCGTATACCCGCGTCCATTTCTCCCTATCAATGCTATCAATCCATCTTAATGCATCCGCGTTGGTTAGTCTGATCTCATCACGGTAGTATTTGAATGTGGGTTCAGTTAGTGCATATCCTGCGTTCACAACCTTCTTTCATAGCGTCTTGTCTTTGATTTCCCGCATGAAATTTTGGGCGATATGCCTTATGCAATAAACGTGGGTCGAGGGAGGATCCTGCCAACCGTTGTCAAGGTTGTTGTATGCACTCTCGACTGGTGGGTTTCGATCGGAGATCAAACATAAGTTAGGTTGGGGAGACACGTAAGAGCGGGGGTTTTTTAAGAAAAAACTCCAACCCCCAACAGTCTCCCCTTCTACTATAGTGAAGGCTATTGGAAAAATGTTGTTGTTCCCGTCCTGTGCCACAGCCATGAGAAGTGTGCCCTTATATTTCCCGTATAACCATGTTCCGTCAATTTGAATTATAGGTTTACAAAATGCAAACCCTTTGATGCATGGTTCAAACACCCAAAAGACTCTGTGAAAAATCCCATTTCCACCAACGCAAGTCCCGTCTGGTGTACAAGCAGGCATCGTCTCCAATATCACAACAGTTCCTGGAGAGTAGTGTTTAAGAGACACCAGGAATTTTGGAAGTTCCTTGTACGACTCCTCCCAATTCCCAAACACCCTTTCAACCGCTTTAGTCCTGGCAATCCAGGCTTTTCGGTACGAAGGAGTGTAATTGTACCGTTGAACCATATGTGTAATTATGGTACTCACCTTCAAAGACGGGTTGTCGCTAACGACTGACAAAATCTCATTGCAAATCAATCGAGAGCTGAATTTACGATGGTCTTGCATCGGATTCGAGATTATACAACTGTGGGACGAACCCATTGACCCTATCTTCCAGGAATCGCTTCTCTTCCTGAAAGACGCTGTTAATCGGAATAGGCACTCCTCGTTACGACAATAGATCGTGTACCGCGTCGGATTTGTCCAATCGACTCTATAATCGGCTGACAACTCCATGTGAAACTGTTTGATTGCTCGGACATAATCTTCTTTGGTACGAAACTCGTCACCCTCTTTTAGAGTCTCTTCTATTGTGTAGTTGAGGTTGTAGAAAACATCCGTCGAGGGTTCATCGTCACCCAAGTCGAGAGTTGTCATGTGTTGAGGTGGATAATAAACATTGCCGGGTGGAACCCCGTCCTCCTGGCTGTTCACCATCTCGTCAACAGTGACTTCAGTTGCTTCTTCTTCTTCTTCAACAACATTGACTTCAGCGTGTTCATCGTCAGAATCGCAAAAAACTTGAGAAGAATCAAGTTGCTGAGACAATTGTTGTTGTAACGTAACATATAACATGATATCTGAGAAACCAGAATACTCGTGACTTCGGAACATGTTACACACATCTTCATCATCTCGCACCTTTAACGGGAAAAATTTACATTCAACATGGCCGCCAAAAACACTGGGTTTTTGTATATTATTTGCCCAACTGGACCACATTGCAGTTTTTTTTCTATTCTTGACTTCAGGTGTAAAAAATTAGACCTTCTATCAATTAAAAATCTTGTAACATCAGTGTTTCTGAAATTGTAACCCGATATTTGACATTCGAAAACTTCACCGTTAAGATGAGCGGAAATCATATATTGTGATGTTTGAGACATAAGGAAAACTGTATTAAAGAGATTAGTTAGTGGTTCTGCATGCAGCATGCTTGATGAGACGGGACAATACAGGAATCTGCTTTTCACATGTGACCCTGCGT